TGTGACCCCCAGGGCCCCCTTTTCCTCGTTCCCCTTTCTCACGGCCACTTTGCCTCTCCCCGCTGCAGTCAGCCACGCTCACGGCATGCGGGGAGGAGTCCACGAAGCTGCCCGCTGGTTCAGAGAGCAGCGAGGAGGAGGAGAAGCTGGATCTCTCTTCGGCTAGGAGGTGAGGCTGGGACAGCGGCGCATGCTCTATCCCCACGATGCGGCAGCGGGGAGGGATGAGGGCTGCGAGGGGCAGCCCCGGTCCGGACCACGCTCCTCCCCATGCCAATGCTGGGGGTGACACGTCCCGTCTTGTGTCCCACAGGCTGACGGACGAGGAGCTGATGCGAGTGTGCGGGGGCCGCACGGCACACAAGTAAGTGGTTGGTGGGGGCTGCACGGTTGGGTTCCCCCCCTCCTGACAGCAGCTTTTGAGCAGGCTGGGCCGGGGGGGCACGTTCCCTGCCAGGGAGGTGCCGGACCCCGGCTGCCCATGATCATTGCAGGGGTGCCCGTCACGGCCTGACCATGAGCGCCAAGCTCGCGCGCCTGGAGGAACAGGAGCGAGCCTTCCTGGCCACGTACCAACACAAGGAGCAGCAGCACGAGCCCCCAGAGAGCAGCCCCCCAGCAGAGAGGCAGGAAATAAGGAAGAAAAAAAGGAGACAGTCCAGAGACGGAGCCGATGCCGAGGTGCTGCAGAGCCAGGAGCTAAGCAGAGAAGAGGAGGTGGCAGGAGAGGAAGGGAAGGCCGTGAAGAGGAAGAAGAAGAAGAACCAGGAGCTAAGCGGAGAAGAGGAGGTGGCAGGAGAGGAAGGGAAGGCCGTGAAGAGGAAGAAGAAGAAGAACCAGGAGCTAAGCGGAGAAGAGGAGGTGGCAGGAGAGGAAGGGAAGGCCGTGAAGAGGAAGAAGAAGAAGAACCAGGAGCTAAGCGGAGAAGAGGAGGTGGCAGGAGAGGAAGGGAAGGCCGTGAAGAAGAAGAAGAAGAAGAGCCAGGAGCTAAGCAGAGAAGAGGAGGTGGCAAGAGAAAAAGGGAAGGCTGCAAAGAGGACAAAGAAGCAGCAGGGGGAGGAGGACAAAGAAGAGCCGGCTGAGACAGAGGTACCTCTGGAAGACACAGATGGGCCAGACCAGGCTGGGCACAGCCCCAGGAAGAAGAGGAAGAAGAGGAAGAGGAAGCCAGAGTGAGCAAGGGCCAAGGCTGCTGTGCTGTGCAGCTGCCGGTACCATCTGGCTATGAGGGTCCTGATCCTGCCTGCTGGCGCTGATGGGTGCCCAAGGATGCTCTGGGCTCTTCTCAGGTGGAGCCCTGCGCTGTGGCCCAGCTGCATGTTCACTTCCTGGGGATGCTGGGCTGGGACTGGTTGGTCTGGAGCTGGATCAAGCTTTATTTCACTCCCTGAGCCTCCTGTGAGGGGTGACCCCCGTTCCCACCAGGCCCTGGGGCAGTGATCCATTTGCCGTGGGTCTGTTGCAGAGGGACACAAGGGGACAGACCCCACAGGGTATTGAAATATTTTTTTTAGGGCCATGAATAAATCTTTATTGCAGTGAAACTATCCTGAAGTACAAGATACATGGCAGACCCCGGGATCCTGGATCGCGTCTACACCTAGAAGCACTCATATTAGGTAGCAACCCCAAACAGAGCCCGCCTGGCAGCCGCCCCGTCGGTCCCAAAGCCCTGGTCTGCAGTGAACTTCAATCCCGCTGGCAGACCTGGGTAGGACTGAAGCCCAGTGAGGTGCTGAGCATCCTCCTAGCAGAGAGCTGTGGCTTTGGCAGAATTAGGCCCCGATCTGCTGTGCCGAAGCCTAACCCGGCACCCCAAGCCCCTGCTGAGCCCCAGCCCTAGGTCAGCTGCAGGACGCAGTCTGTCTCGGGGTACGGTGGCAGGTTTAAAGCGTATTTCTCCTGGAGCGCGGCAGGCACAAACCTGCCCCCGAGGAAGTGGTAGCGGCCAGCAAAATGCATTGCTGCCTTCTTGGGTGCCGTGAGCGAGATGAGCATATCGGGCTGGAGACCGTCTGCTTTCCCCTTCTCCACGTCCCAGCCTGCAACAAGCCCCGAGGCCAGGCTGGAGCCAAGAAGACCCTGGCCGGGCACCTTCCTCTGGTGGGTCCGGCCATTACTCACCTGAGGGGATGTCGATGCTGGCGATGGGCACCGTGATGTGCTCAAGGGTGCTGAGGATGCTGCCGAAGGGCTCCCGCACCGCTCCCTTGAAGCTGAACCCGAAAATTGCATCTACCACCAGGCCGTAGAGCTCATCGATGAGCGCAGCCTGTGGCGGGGAAGGCAGCGGGTGAAAAACAGCCCTGGGCACGGCTCCAAGGGTGGGGGCTCCCTAGCCAGGGGGCTGCTCCTCACCTCGGCCGGGAACTCGGGGAGGAAGGGGATGTCCATCTTCTGGCACTGGGTGGTCAAACCTTCAAACAGGGGCTTGTTGGGGCGCTTGGGGTAATACACGGTTGGCTCGTAGCCCTGCAAGAGCAGGAGTGACCTGAATGGCGCTCTGGCACCAGGAGCAGCCAGAAGAGCGGGAACCCCAAAGCTTGCGAGGGTCGGGGCACACGGGGAGAGGCACCCTCCCGGGGGGGAGCATGCAGCCGCCTGCACGAGAGACTCACAAACATTTTCAGGTGCCGGGCGTGTGGGGGCACACGGGGAGAGGCACCCTCCCCGGGGGGAGCATGCAGCCGCCTGCACGAGAGACTCACAAACATTTTCAGGTGCCGGGCGCAGACCAAGCCATCGCCGCCGTTGTTCCCCGGCCCACACACGACCAGCACAGCGGGCTGGCTTGTGGTGAAGGAGCTGGGTGGGTAGGCCTGGTGTGGGACAGGAGGCATAGGGTTATGCTGGGGAAGCGGGGCCTCGCCACGGGGCCAGGACCGCCACGGGGCCAGGACCACCCCAGGCCCACCACCCCACGC